TTCACCTCACTCACTCTCTCTTCATCTGCCCATCTCTCTCACTCACTCTCTCTCACTCTGTGTCTGTCCCTTTCTGTGCCACTTATCATTAATTTTTCTACCGCATTTCTCTGTCTGGCATTCTGACATTTTTGCCTTCACCCAGAGCTCTGGCGCTCTGGCCTCGTCCCTGTTTTGACATAATTGTTTTTGCTTGAATGCTTTTCCACTTCCGTAACTCCCTCGCCTGACCGCCCCTCCGCATCTCCGCCCGTGCGCTGCCCTAATTAATTGATTAGCTTCAGCAAATCGGTCAATATGTTCTCGCCGTTTCTTTTACACGCCGTTTTTATTGCTCTACGCTTCGAGGATGCGTAATGAGTTGCTAATTAGATTTGTAGATAACATTTCCTTTTTTTCTTTCTATTTCTCTTCAGGTTGCCCTGAGAGTTTGGGCAGGTGTTGGCCGAGCGGGCAAAAATGTTAAGTCAAACGTAACCACACATTGATTGCAACAGTTTTAGTGGCAATTTTTATAAACAAATAAAAATATGCATTTGAATACAAAATAATCTCTTGAAATAAGTTTTATTAAAGTTTTTTCTTTTTTAATCTACCGCAAATTACATATTAAAACATATTTATTTACATCTACACTATAATATTAAAAAAATTTTTTTTAATTTTAAATCAACAAATTAATAGCGAATTTAAAGAATTTTAGCAGTTTCTAGGTTTACCTAAAGCTCTGAGAGTTTCTATGTAATATTACATTTAAATTAGTTCTGTGATTCTTAGCAACTGTTCAATTATTTTGTATAACAAAAAACGAATAATAAATATTAAAATATATATATATATATAAAAATATAGTGCGCTGTCTGACTAACTGAAAGATAAACTTGTTGAATATAGGGTAACTTTTAGTCACGTACAGGGAATCCTATTGGGATATTATTGTTATATATAATATAAAATATAAATATTCTAGCCGCAGGCCCCAGCAGTCAGTGCTTAATTTCCAGTATGATTTTCTATTAACTATATCGATTATTATAATTATTAATGAATATTTCATTTTTTAATGCACAATCTCAGGGAATCTTAAAAAACATTAAAAGTAAAATTTTTAAACTATAAAAATATTTTTAAATATGAAGAAAATAAACAACAAGCATTGTTAAGCTGCTGAGACGTGTCTTGGCCCTTAAATTAATTCAAAGAAATTTTGGACATGGATATTCAGTTTATTGCACGTATTCAGTTTCCTCAATTTGTTATAAACATGGCTTTGGCAGTCGTGCTGTCCACCACAGTCATGCAATATAGTCAATTTAGATGTCGTCGCACGTTTATCGAACTATTGTAGCTGCTCACGCACTGCGATCGTCGATTTAGTCGATTATCGAGCAAATAGCAAGGAAAACAACGAATGAGCCAAATCTCTTATTAATAACAAGTAAGAAAGCTCTAGTCGAGACTGCTCGACTACGAGATCCCCTGAACCCTTGGAGCAATAGATATTTCAATACTATTTCGCGACTTTCAGCTTACACAAGAAACACGCAAACACACACACACACACGCACGTACGCACACACAGGTATACATACACACACACGCATACAGACACACATACTCACACACACGCATACAGACACAAATGCATACACACACACACATACACATACAAGCAACCACGCATAAACACGCATGGGCTGCAGTGTGCGCTTACTATGAGAACTTAATTGTTTAATAACTTTTTTTTATGGACGTACGATCTTCATGAAACTTTTAGATTATGATTATAACATGAATATGCATGTAATTTCCAAAGCACAAGTCTCTAGTATTTGAAATACGCTTTTTACAAAAGTGAGGGTGAGGGGGTGAATTTAGAGGTGGGGGGTAAATTTTAACAAAAACCGAAATTGTATAAATTGCATATAAGCATACATTAAAAATTTGGAGACTCTAGCAATAAAGGTGTAGAAGATATAATTTTATAACTGGGTTTCGATAAGGTTTTTTATCGATAAAAAAAGATCGAGATGAGTTATCGATTTTTAATGATAAACTTGATATGCGCGCTGTAATTACGGACATTTTAAAAAAAATTTGAAGTCTCTAGCTCTTATATCTTCTGAAATCGACGCGTTCATACATACGGACAGACGGACAGACGGACAGACGGACAGACAGACGGACAGGGCCAAATCAACTCAGCTCGTCACCCTGATCAAGAATATATATACTTTGTGGGGTCTGCCACGCCTCCTTCTCCCTGTTACATACATTTCAACAAAACCATTATACCCTGATTTCCCATTGAAAATGGGTTCAGGGTATAATAAATCTCTCTCTCTAATGGACAAGTCTCTTCAATTCTTTTCAAATGTAATGAGAAGAAGAATTTAAAGAACTTACGCTGAGTGCATGAAATGTCGACGATATGACAGACGATTAAAAAATTCACTTTCGAATGAGCTATATCGACTCTAGAGAAGGTATAGGCGGGATATCCATTTCTCTACTGCCAAACATACCGTACAATTTTTTTATATTTTATAAAATATAAAATTAAAAGTATACACATATGTATTAATGTTTATATGTATGTATGATGTGTAGTTTTATATAGTAAATATATATTTATAAAATTAAATTATGGATATTTATGGGAAAAAGACACATATAAATATATATTTAAAAATTATTGCTGCTTAAACTCAATCAAATTATCAATATACTTTTCAGCATATAAAATTAAAAAAATAAAATAAAAAACTGTATATAATTTAGTATACATATTTCATTTATTTTTTAAATTTTATATGCTAGAAAGTATATTGATAATTTGATTGAGTTTAAGCAGCAAAAACAAATTTTTTTTTATTTAATATCACTTCTTTTTTTGTAGTACTCTACGAAATCTCCCATTAGTTTATTTCGCGCATGTTATATTATTTTAATAATATTTTTTTAAATGATTAATTAATGCACCATTTCAAACATGCTCTTTACATAAAGAATATATTTTTATGTATAGCTTAAAATATAATTAATCATGCTCCGCCTCCTATTCCAATACACCTCCGGCTCTCTCACACTTCATTTAATATTCAGCCAATGACCTTTGCGGCGGCATCTTTGACATCTTTGACATCAGCCCGCATTGCTGCAAGCAAAGTAGGAAAATCGCCTCCAGTGATTTGCCGCTGTGCCGAGGCAGGCGGCTGAACACGACTTTTGCATTTTGCATCCATAACTTTGCCAGCAATCAAATCAGCTAGCTTCTTCTTCCACTTCCACTTCTTCTTCTTTTTCTTGGTTCATTTTTTGTACCAACTTTAACGGCGCTGAAACAAAATGGCGTCGCTTCAAGTTAGAAAAAGCTGGAAAAGTGCTGTGGGGACTGAGCCCGATTGAGGGGGGCGTCATAAAAAGCGCAGCAAAAGCAAAATCACAAAAAAACGCAATTTTAATTTCTGCTTATGCCCTTAATTTTTTGCCTTTTTCACACGTTTCTTTGTTTGAGCAGCAGCAAACTTCGGAGCCAGCACGAAGGCGTCGCGTGCCAAAGGGTTAACAATTTGGCCAAGAGTTTTCCGGTCTCAGGGGGCTGGAGGCGGGAGACGGGAGACGAGAGGCTCACTTGCCCAAGTCGAAAGGGGAACTTTTTATTTTTGATGCAGACCGCAGTTTTTAAGAGTCTGCCGGGGCGCTGAGAATAAAATAAAAAGCGTTGTCGCAAGTTTCGCCAGATGCCGCTTAACCCGCAGCGTAAAAATTTGATGAGTTTGGCATTTTCTTTAATTGAAATTTGTGATCTTTTGAAAGCTTTGCCGCGACCTGAAAGCCGGAGCGCGGTAGCTGTAGCTAGTAGTTTTCAAGTGCCACAGGGGCCGTCAACTGGCTGCAGTCACTTCAGCGCATACACACATACAGAGAGAGAGAGAGAGAGAGAGAGAGAGAGAGTCGCTCACACATGCGATTAGCTGCGGATTAAAATGTCACCCCTTTTGCGCTGCGTCACGCACAAGATACAAGATACAAACGCGCACGCTATAGATACATTTAATTACAAACAAATAAAAGTCATGACAGCAACCCACACAGACAGAAAGAGAAAGAGAAAGAGAGGGGGAGGGAGGCAGGGATAGAGAGGGAGAGAATCATGTGTGTGTGTGTGTTGATCCACGTCCAGGCTTGGGGCATATGCAACAGTTCACACGACCTGGCTGCCACTACTAAAGGACTAACATCGGGTATCTCTCTGTCTCTGCCTCTGCCTCTGCCTCTCCTTCACTTTCTCCCGTTCTCTCTGATTCGCATTTTAATAATCGGTTTATTATGCCTGTGTGTATGTGCTTAGCTGCTTATACAGAGCCAAGTGTTGTTTGCTATTTGCCTATGCGGAGCCAAGCCCGCCCCGCCCACACTTCAAAGCGCTGGCAAAGTTTTCTGCCGGGCAACAAAGGGAAAAGTAACAGAAGAAAGCCACTCAAAGTATCTTTGAAATTAACTTTATTTATTTAACTACTTAAAAGCAGATTAACGCAATTACACACTTGAACTGATTTTATGCAAAACAGTTGAGCAAACGGAAACGTAAAACGGAAACGGAAACGGAACAAACAAAAGCGTAGTCAGATCCAGGATAAATGTAAATGCCGCAAAAAAATACAAAATAAAAAGCAAAATCAGCGGAAAAATCCATTGAAAACTGAGACAGTTGAGATACATTCAAATACAAGAGAAATGCGTGTAATCAAATCTTATCAATTCAGCCACATTTGCGTTTTTCCAGCTTAAATATGTCCTTAGATAATTCGCAATGGAATTTGGTGTACACCAATATAATCTTGAGTTTAGACTTAGAGAATAATTATATTTCAATGTTAATTATGTTAATCCGCAACCGATTCAACTCATAACGGATTAGATTATCTCATATCATATAATCACTTCAGTATCAGTATTCCCAATCTCACTCCAAATTTTCCGTTCACATTTTGCAGCGGTTCAACATGAGCGCGGTCCCCGCAAGCCGAAGCTACATCCGCAGCTACATCACCATCATCATCACGCGGCAGCTGCAGCGGCTGCTCACCATGCGGCCGCCGCCCACGCCCACCACCACCACCATCATCACCATCACGCCCATGCGGCGGCGGCTCATCATGCGGCGGCCGCTGCAGCCGCCGCTGCCGGACTGCATCATCACCACGGCAGCCATTTGCCCGTGTCGCTGGTGACCAATGTCTCCGCATCGTTCAACTATACGCAGCACATCTCGACCCATGCACCGCCGGGCGGCTTCCATTTGCCCACAGGTGCGAGCCAGGGCGGTGCTCCGGCCCTGCCACACCAGGGGCAGCCGAGCCATGGCGCCCAGTCGGCCGGATCACATGCTACGGCCTTTCATCATCCGACCCATGGACATGCGCTGGCTCCGCATGCCGCTCTGCAGAATGGCGGTGGTGGCAGCGGTGCACTCGGTGGTGCAGCTGGCGGTGCGTCAAGCGTCGCCATGACCTTCCCACCCCACTTGCTGCATCACAATCTGATCGCCGAGGCGGCCAGCAAGTTGCCCGGCATCACGGCGGCAACGGCAACGGCTGTGGCTGCTGTTGTCTCCACCACGCCGTATGGCCACCACCCGGCCACCTCGTCAGCCATCGCAGGGAATCACAGCAGCAACAACAACTGCAGCAACAACAACAACAAGAACTACTCGTCGCCCTCGCCCAGCAACTCCATACAGTCCATCTCGAGCATTGGCTCGCGCAGCGGCGCCGGCGGCGCTGACGGCGCTGGCAGCCTGAGCCTGGGCAGCGAGAGCCCGCGCGTCAATGTGGAAACGGAGACGCCGTCGCCGTCGGCATCGCCACCGCTGAGCGCTGGCAGCGTTTCGCCAGCTCCCACGCTGACCGATTCGCAGAGCTTGGCCGCATCCAGCGCATCGCCGCATCCGGCACAGAGCTCGACGCACTGCCTCAGCGACAACTCGCATCAGACGAACAATCCGGCAACGCCGCCCACAAATGCTGCGCTGCTCATGCACAGCATTCATGTCAACAACAACAATAACAACAACAATAGCAACAATAACAATAACAACAACAACAACAATCTGAGCAACAATAAACAGCTTAGCTACACTTCTGGCTCTCCCACGCCCACAACGCCCACACCTCCGCCCGCGGCGCTGGCAACAGCGCGCTCCAGCAGCGCCTGCCACGGCTCAAACGGTTTCCTGGAACTGCTGCTCAGTCCGGACAAGTGCCAGGAGCTCATCCAGTATCAGGTGCAGCACAATGCGCTGCTCTTTCCGCCGCCGCTGCCCCAGCAGCTGCTCGACTCGCGCCTGCTCTCCTGGGAGATGCTGCAGGAGACGACGGCTCGTCTGCTCTTCATGGCCGTGCGCTGGGTCAAGTGTCTGATGCCCTTCCAGACATTGTCCAAGAACGATCAGCATTTGCTGCTGCAGGTGAGCTAGATAACTAACTAGAGTTCAGTTGTAGAGAAATTTCTGAAGAGATTTTGGTCTTTTAACTGAGATTGGACATTAACTTCATTCTCAAATTTTCATTTAGTGAAATCAAATTCACTTGCGCTGAAACTTTCATTTCCACCTGACGAGGTGAATTTTAGTTTTATTTGATATTCCATTTTCACAGCTCCGAGAAAATGTATGGCAATTGCTGAATTCCATTAAAAACAGGCGATGGAATAATAAAATAAATAATAACTTAGCTAGCAGGCAAACTCTGAGAAGAATTTTAGATGAGGAAGTAAAAGCAGTGGCGTAGTGAGGGGGGTTTGTGAGTAGGAAATGTGTTTAACATGAATGGACGATTTGGTTCTTTCCCCTTTAAAAATGGGAAATCTGGCTATATTAGTTATCTAAAACCAAGCCGAACCTATAAACTATATGTATATATTCCTGATCAGAATGAGAAGCTGAGTTGATCTAGCCATGTCCGTCTGTCCGTATGAACGACAAGATGCAATATATGTATTATATAGCTAAACATAGCTCTTACAATTGGATAATATTACTATAGTACTATCCATCTATAACTACTACTGTGAAAAATTGACTTACCGCCATCTCAATCTTTCACAACTCTCCCAATTAGGAATCCTGGAAGGAGCTTTTCCTGCTCAATCTCGCTCAATGGACCATTCCCTTGGACTTGACGCCCATACTGGAATCGCCGCTCATCAAGGAGCGCGTGCTGCAGGATGAGGCGACCCAAATGGAAATGAAGACCATACAGGAGATCCTCTGTCGCTTCCGTCAGATAACGCCCGATGGCAGCGAAGTGGGCTGCATGAAGGCCATTGCACTGTTCGCCCCCGAGACCGCCGGCCTGTGCGATGTGCAGCCGGTGGAGATGCTGCAGGATCAGGCGCAGTGCATACTCTCCGACCATGTGCGGCTGCGTTATCCGCGTCAGGCCACACGCTTCGGTCGGCTGCTGTTGCTGCTGCCCTCGCTGCGTACGATACGAGCGGCGACCATTGAGGCGCTCTTCTTCAAGGAGACTATCGGCAACGTGCCGATAGCACGACTTCTGCGCGATATGTACACCATGGAGCCGGCACAGGTGGACAAGTAGATGATGACTCGCTAGGCTGGCTGCCTAGCTGGCTGACTGTCTGTCTGGCTGGCCGGCCATTTGTTGTGAATTGGGCGTGGCGTGCTTCCAAATGTAATCAAAATCGATGCGGCAACAATTTTTGCACTTGCAAAAATATTTTTGCTCCAACTAAACTAGAAAGAAAAATTATAAAAAAAAAAAAAAAAGAAGAATATATTTATAAAAAGAATGGAAAAATGGAAACGAAACGTTGATAAAAAAGAAAAGTAAAAAAATTGCGACTGCAGCTGCGACAGTTCACAGCGCGTACAGCGCTCGTGTAATAGATACATTGCCACGCCCCTCCGGCCGCCTCTGGCTGCTTTCACGTTGATTTATAGCTCTGTTCGCGAGTTATTCGCTACTTTTCGTTTATTTTCATTTTTTGCCCTCTCTATCTCTCTCGTTCTCTCTTTCGCGCTACTTTCTAACGTTTTATTTTTTTTTTTCCACTCTGCACTTTATTTATCTTTCATTCGACGTTTTGTCGTCGCTTTTCTAAAAATTGCTCATGTTATTTCAGTTGGCTGGCAAGCAAAACCCACCTGCAAGCCAGGCACCTACACAAACTCCACTCCTCCCCGCCCCACTCCCAGAGCACCCTTGACCTGCTGCAGCAGTCAATTGCCACCCAACTCCCACTTTTGATTTTCCCCGTTCCCCATTTACCCTTTTTACACATTGGCTTTTTTAACAGAGAGTCTTTTCACTATGCAGAGATTCTTAGGCATTTAGCAGAGCCTGCGACACAGCTGTTAATAATAAGCTTGGCTTTATGTTAACATCTTACTTTTTGCAGAGCTTCTGTGAATGCTCATAACAGTATTTACAGTATCGAAGCAGCTGCTGTGACAGCCCAAGCTAAACCTTTGAAGAGAAGTCCTATACGAATATTTAACAGATTTCTCAACTGTTATTTTAACATATTTGTATTTCTCTATCTTGAAGCGCTTTTAAAAAGTCTTATATAAATATTTAACATTTATGTTAATTTAGCATTTATGTTTTTCTCTATTCGTAAAAGCGCTTGTTATTTTATTTATAAGAGTGTTTTCAGAATGTAAAGAGTTTGCTAACAGTCTTAGAAGAAAAGAGAATCGCTTCGTGTAAAGTTAAACGGATATTGGCATCGTCTGCGAAACAATGGACTTATTTTCATTTTCTTTATTCACATATTGTATGGCACATAAAAGAAGGTCTTATTTGTTTAATAAGACTTTTGACATCACCTCTTAAATATTCTGAAAGTCTGAGAATCAATAAATTAACTATCTAAGCTTTATATTATGCTTTTCTTATATGCTTACCGCTCTATCACAATCTCTTAATTATAGCAGAGGAGTTACTGGAAGAGAGCTACTATAAGTTTCGTCTTTTCTGACAGTTCAATCATGTTGTTTACACACATTTATTGAAAAACAAAATAGTTTGGTCCTAGCAGATATTCATATACATATCAGTTCTAAATAAATTCAATAATTTTTTTTATATTAACTTTTCAAGTTGGGTTCTTTTTCCATATGCCTGACAACAGTAACTATCTGTAGAACAGAATTTATGTTACAGCTTCCTAACACTCTGCAGAAACCAGATTTTAGCATAAAGCCTAGCTTCTCTATAACACAATTGTGTCCCGACAAACTCAAGCATCTATATACCCTTCCATAGTATCGACATCTTCGCTTTGTCCCGCTTGCTTTACGCCATTCAATTTGACTGTACTCTGTGTATACAATTTCCAATTTCATAACTTTTCTGCTGCTCTTTTATGGCAATTTTCATTTGGTCTTGTTCGTCTTCTGCTTCTTTTTTACGCTGTGTTTAGAAATCGTGGAAAATGAAAAAATAACTTTGCCGCAGGTCAAGCGCCCAAATGTATGCTGCATGTTTTGTCTTTGTTACCTTTTGCACATTTGTTGGTTTAATGTTTCAGTTAGTTATACACGCACACCCCCCACACACACATATATACATATAGCAATTTATGAGAGTGCGTGTAACACATATAGCATGTAGATATATGTATAATATATATATATATATATATATATATATATATATACATTGATATAGATTGGTGCCCAGCTTTGTTCATCAGTTATGTCAAATGCCCAAATGCTTTATAATTGATTTTGCCAAAGCGAACTTTGTAAAATGCATCAAAAGTGTTGCCAAAAAATATAAAATAAAACTGAAAAAAATAAAAATAAAAACGAAAAATTTGCAGACGAAAATATAAATACTTAGATAAACAATAATAGTTGGAAATAGTTTGTAAGTTGTAGCAGCTGTTGGCTCGAAAAAATATATATAAATATATATGCAAACTAATTATTATGTATACAAAACAGAAAAATATTTAAATAAATTTAAATATAATACAAACAAAAATGAATGACAATATTTCCTATATATTTTAATTTGTGGGTTGCACAAAAAAATTTGAACGAAAAGGGAGTTCCATTCATGACTTTATTGGTTTTAATATGCAAAAATATATTTTTTTAAATTTAGACTTATAAAAAGTCATAATAATTACTCAGTTTGCCATTACATTATTTATTCATAACTATTATTTAATTCCTTAAAATTTCTATTAGTATCTAGCTGACTTCTTGTGAATTGGCAAATTTTGTCATTAGCCAATCAGAAATTGGTGTGATTAATCGGATGTTCGGTGACTTTCAAATAGGTCTATATGGAAAAACAATTTATTTATGTTGCATTTCATAATAGTTTCAATTATCGTAACTCTCTCTCTCTGGCAAATCTTCTTTGAAGCCTCTAGCTTCTAGCTGAAGTACTAAAACTTGTAATTTGTACTTGATAATACTATAGGGAATTTTGTACTGTCTTTATATTCCCCATAAAAAAAGCAATAGCCATATATATTTTGGAATCAATACTACATTTACTTACTTAGCTCTAAAATTGTCCTACTCAATTTTAGTATATTGTTTACCTCAGGCTATTTCAATGAACAGCAATCCATAATATATAATATACATCCTGATAGCTAAAAAATATTTCCTGTATATAGCAACTACATATAGTCAAAGACACGTTTTGGCCATATGTGCCAACACTATTTGGCTATAATTTAATTCACTTAGAAATAAAAAGACATTTTTATTTATTAACATTTTACTAAAAGTTTTAATGTACAATTTGTATTATTTTTCTAAAAGTCTTATTTTCTAATACAAATGAAATAAATAAATATATTAAAAGAAATGTAAGTTGACTTAGTAGCCTCGAAAACTTGGGCTTAGATTAGAGTTTAAATCTAGTTTAAAGCTAGTTTAAATCATAATCTTTTTTATAGCAGCTTATTGTCTATGATTTTAAAAATGAAAGCCAAGTAAATGAAAGGCAAATACTGATTGAAGAACTAGTGTACTCAGAATCTTAAATCTGAATTTTTGTTTCGATTTTTATTAAATCTTTTTCACTCCTGTAAGGTCTGTATAAAAACCCTTTTAGAAACACTTTGTGCCTACTTTCCGCTGTCTAATTGTTGTCGTCGTCGTCTAATGCACTGCGAAAAAAATTGTTACCAAAAAAGAAACATGCAAATTTCGTTGTCACTAAACAAATAACAGACGCAGCCGAAGCAAATTGTGTTAATGGAAGTAACACAGAAAAAAGGCAATTAAAACAATTAAGTGACGCTTTCTTTGGGCCACACTATTTACCAAGTTTAAAATAAAAAAAAAAAGCAAAAATAAAAAACGATGAGAGAAAGGAGACCAAAAAATGATGGCATTAAAAAAGTGCCAAAAACATTTCATTTGCTGGCCAAGCGAGCGACGCAAATGCGAATATAAAATGTAAATCATAAAAAAATATATATTTATATATGTATATGTATGTGTGCTTATATATAAAAATCCGCAATTTGTATGCTGTCGCATATTTTGCGTAATGCTTAAGCATTGTCCAAAGGCCGTGAAAATGGGGCGGTCGCCGGGCAGCTGTCATAAATACTTGGAGCGAATGTCTTGCAATGCTTTGATAAAGGACATATGCGGCTCTATTATTGATGCCTGCTGCCATCCGATGCTGTCATCAAAGGACGTGCCATTGTTTGAAGCGAACGTCTTGATGCAAAAGGTAAGACATTTGCTTATTTTACATACACCAACACACACACAGAGAGAGAAAGAGACAGAGAGAGGGAGTGAGGGGTGGATTGAGTGAGTACGGCAAATGCCTTTGGGGCACGTATTGTAGCTCTGATGTCCAGAATGGAACCGCACAGACCGCTCGCTGGACATGTTGCATATACATATATATATAAATATAAATATACATACATACATATATACCCTTTTGGCTAGAACTTATGTTGTCTTTCATTTCTTTTCACACTTTTTACTTTGCCATGGGCAATACATCTTGCACCACAAAACACAAAATCGTCTTAAGTATTTTGTGTGGTTTAAATAAAATAAAAATAATAAAAACCATTTCTCCCTCACTCTCTCTCTCTTTCTCTTTCTCTTCCGATCTCCGTCTCGCTCACTCTCTGCGCGAGTGTGTGTGTGTGTGTGTGTGTGTGTGTGTTGAAAGGGATAAGCGCCGTACATCCGCTTAACGTTGTATATTTTCTTCACTTAGTCTTGTCTTGGCATTCAATTTGGGTCTCTCGTTTTGCGTAAATGATTTTATTTCATTCTTTTTGTGGCTAGCTGTAAAATTTTGATATACTATTATTCTATACCCTCAGCAGATCCAATGTTCGTCATTGTTTTTTATGAACACACACACACACACGCCGCATATTACACAACAATCCAATATATGGCCATAGCCCACCAATCAGCCCCACTCACACATCATCATCAGCCGCATGACATGGCCGAAAAGGTGGCAACGCCTCTGCATATATTGGACATGGCTGTAGCAAAACCCACGGCCATCTAATAGCTATGTGAATTCGGCCACTTGTTGGCCAACACATGTGGGTGTGCATCTGCATGGGTGTGCGCGTGTGGGCGAAAGGATTGATGTGCGCCACATGGTAATTTGGGCCTCTGCATAGAAATTGCGCATACGCCTAGTGAGGCGTAGGCAAGTTTTGTATATGAATGATTTAAATGAAAAGTTTGTTTGGGCGAACTGAAACTTCAACAGGCTTAAGCACAAAATGGGCCCAGCTAAGCTGCGGGTATTGATGATAAACTGATAATATTTACAATAGAAGAAGATATATAATAATATATATTCCTCTTATATATTATATATATATATATATATATTATATTATATATATTATATTACCCTTAGTAATATCCTCATAAAAACGACGAGTGTGTCAAATTATGAAAAGCGATTACTCTTATATTATATTTTATATTATCTTCGATGACCAAAGGGACGATCAAACGGGCAAACGGACAGGCGGACAGACATACGGACAAATAGATGGATAATAAATCAAAAACTAATATTATAAAATGGGATTCTGCTAAAATTTGATTTTTTTTTCTTTCGTTTTCATGTCAAGGCCTTTTCAATTATATTATTAATAATATATATGTATATTAATTTGTCACATCTTAGTCAATTTGATACAGTTAAAATATTAAGTGAAGTGGGAAATTTCAAGCAGAGCCATACAAATCGCAAAAAAAATTCTATAGTTTGTATGGTCGTAACCAGAATTGAAGACTAACCATATTCGTTTTAATACTCATCGAACCCATTGAAAATGGAAAATCAGGATACAATGGTTTTGTTAAATGTATGGAACAGGAGGCGTGGCAGACCATATGGTCTACTAGAGCAAGAGACTTGAAATTGGTTTCCTAGATCCGTGTATATCACGCGCATATCGAGTTTGTTTCCAAAAATCGATAACTACTCTTGTTATTTTGTGATCGATTAAAACCCTTTTCGAAAAAATATTTATAAATTTATATCTGCTACATGCTTAGAGCAGTATACGAGTCCAACAAGATCTGGCCATATTTTTAAACATTTATAAATAATTTTTATTATTATATTATAAAAACAAAATTGAATTTAAAATCTAGTTTAAAATCCCGTTTGTTTTTTTGCAATATATATATATATATATATATTTTTAATATATGAATTGATATTTATATGATTTAGTAAATTATTATTTTTAAAATTTTATAATTTAGACTTTCACGCAATGCTAAAATAATTTGTAATTTATTGCTATGCAATGTAGTCATAAATTCTTATTTATTTATCATGCGGAATATCTTATTGCATATTAGGAACTTGAAAAACTACATTTCTATTCAAAATTAGAATGTGCCCATTATAGTAGTAATGTGAAAAACGATAAAGTTTATTTTATGTTAGATAATTTGTTTTTATATTGTTGATTTAATAGACAAATATTATTATCAAATATTTACTGATGAATGTCGAGGTGTCATATAATCAGCTTATAGTTTGATGACCATCACGCGTATATGTGTATGCGGTTCAGATGGGTTGAACACAACCTTCCCGTTGGCATCCTTGAAGTCAGTATAGGCTAATTTGTAGACGCATTCCATGCCCAAGGCCTGCTTCTGGCGTGCCGAATAGAAGCTGGTGCAGTAGGCGACCAACAGGGGGTAGCCCTTGGAGCGACCCAATTCCATGAGAGCGGTTGTTAGACGTGCGCCCAGTCCTTTGCCACGCATTGTGGCATCAACATAAGTGATATGCGAGCAGAGCAGCTTAGAGATGCCGTAACGCTTGTAGAGATTGGCCTCTTCCTCGACTTTTGATATTAATATGTCGATGCGTTCATAGTCAGTTGATGTCCTTATATCTTTGGTACATCTAATCAAATCGCTAGGTGTCTGAGGAGCAGCCACAACTATGCCGACGATGCGTCCGCCGTTCTTCTCATCGATAGCCATGAGACTAGTTCCTTTCTCAACTATGGAAATGTGATACTCATCGTCCACCTTCTCATACAATTTATTCACATGCCCGCCGCAGCACGTATCTAGCGGCTCGTCCCTGTTTATATTCCCGCCCATTGCATTTTTAACATTCTGATAGTCCGACACGTTCATGATGCGTATGACTATGCCATCCGTTTCGCTCGATTCGCTAGACATGTTTAGTCTCTAGAGTTCGCTATTAAACTATTTCACACTTTAGCCATGCGCGACTATTATATGTAGCTCAACTTTTTATTATTTTCTGATTATTACCATAACAATTACTTAAATGTGGTATATTTACTCTATACTTCGTTATTAGACGCAAATGGGAGTCGTAGTCTGTCCCTCTGTCTGGCATTCTTCATTATACCCTGAACCCATTTTCAATGGGAAATCAGGGTATAATGGTGTTGTTGAAATGTATGTAACAGGCAGAAGGAGGCGTGGCAGACCCCACAAAGTATATATATTCTTGTTCAGGGTGACGAGCTGAGTCGATTTGGCCCTGTCCGTCTGTCTGTCCGTCCGTCTGTCCGTATGTATGAACGCGTCGATTTCAGAAAATATAAGAGCTAGAGACTTCAAATTTTTGTTTAAATGTCCGTATTTACAGCGCGGATATCGAGTTTATCACTAACAAGTAAGAAAGCTCTAGTCGAGACTGCTCGACTACGAGATCCCCTGAACCCTTGGAGCAATAGATATTTCAATACTTTTTCGCGACTTTCAGCTTACACAAGAAACACGCACACACACACACGCACGCACGCACGCACACACAGATAAACATACACCCACACGCATATAGACACACATACACACACACACGCATACAGACACAAACGCATACACACACACACATACACACACACATACACATACAAGCAACCACGCATAAACACGCATGGGCTGCAGTGTGCGCTTACTATGAGAACTTAATTGTTTAATAACTTTTTTTATGGACGTACGATCTTCATGAAACTTTTAGATAATGATTATAACATGAATATGCATGTACTTGCCAAAGCACAAGTCTCTAGTATTTGAAATACGCTTTTTACAAAAGTGAGGGTGAGGGGGTGAATTTAGAGGTGGGGGGTAAATTTTAACAAAAACCGAAATTGTATAAATTGCATATAAGCATACATTAAAAATTTGGAGACTCTAGCAATAAAGGTGTAGAAGATATAATTTTATAACTGGGTTTCGATAAGGTTTTTTATCGATAAAAAAAGATCGGGATGAGTTATCGATTTTTAATGATAAACTTGATATGCGCGCTGTAATTACGGACATTTTAAAAAAAATTTGAAGTCTCTAGCTCTTATATCTTCTGAAATCGACGCGTTCATACATACGGACAGACGGACAGACGGACAGACAGACGGACAGGGCCAAATCAACTCAGCTCGTCACCCTGATCAAGAATATATATACTTTGTGGGGTCTGCCACGCCTCCTTCTCCCTGTTACATACATTTCAACAAAACCATTATACCCTGATTTCCCATTGAAAATGGGTTCAGGGTATAAAAATCGATAACTCATCCCTTTTTGTATCGATAGAAAGCCTTATCGAAAACCAGTTATTATATAATAATAACTAATTATATCTCCTACATCTTTATTGCTAGAGTCTCCAAATTTTTTATGTATGCTTATATGCAATTTATACAATTTCGGTATTGGTTAAAATTGTTATAGGGTAGCTTCTAGTCGAGCAATCTCGACTAGAGCACTTTTATTGAACATTTTTAAATGTTTAAATATATATATTAATAAAATTAATATTAAAACCAAACTTATATTCTACAAAATTTAGAGTTCACAAAGAAAAGAAAAATAGAACTGAGTTTTCTTTATCAAGTAATTTTCTAATATATATGTATATATGTATTTAGTATTCTTTTTAAGTTTTTAACATTATTTATTTATTTAAATATATATTTTTATAATTAACATTAATTATTGTAAGAAAAGTCTTGGCCCACTGAAATACTGAAACTGTATTCAATTATAAATAAATCTACAATTATATACATTTGTTATACCCTCTAATTACAATTACATATTGAAGTCCTAGGGATCATAAATAGAATGTTTTTTTGCCCATTTGTAGAACTTTTTAATATGGTTGGGCAGCACTTAATCGTCGTTGCGATGCTGCTGAAAATCACATTTCGAGCTGCTGCTGTTGGCTGGCATTGGAAACAAGCCAATCCGCACGCTATACCAGAAACAGAACCAGAAGCAGAACCAGATAGTAGACACAAGACCCTGACACGGACACGGACACAGACACAGACACAGACACGGACTCAGACACAGACGCAAAGCAGGAGCAAGTCAGGCCACGAGCATAACGTGCAACTTTCCAGCTTTCGCCGCAATCAATTTTACGGGTGCACAACAACAACAATAACAACAACAACATCTGCAGCAGCAGCAACAGGAAACAGAATTAGAGCAACCCCGAGCATAGAAAGCAACCCAACCGAAAACCCAAGCCCAAAACCAACTCGATGCGACACGATTCACCCACACTTACACACACACACACACAAAGACACCCACCGACACACACAGTCATAGATGAAGGGCCAAACAGCGTTAGACACGCAACCAAACAACGCTCAGCACGTGGTCCAGCTCACATGAAGGTATTAACGCGTAACAACATCGCTGCATGATTAACCTTCTGCATTGGTATGGTCTGCCCGACAGACCATTGACGCCCGCCCATTGCCAATGTGGGCGTGGCAGCGGTTAGCCATGACTCTGGCATAGCTTTTGCCATGTTCTAGTCGAGGGCTTAATGTGCAGCGGGAACTACATATGAATGACTACGTTGGCAACAGTTACATGAGCTAATCGCCCGACAGTTGCAGAGTTCAGCAAGACGCAAGAGTCGGCTAAAATTTAATGAGTATTATTATTAGATATACATAAATTACATTCCAAAGACGCTATTCAGTTTAATATTGAGCAGAATTAACGGTTCTGCATTATATTAAAGGCCAACTTGAAACTTTAGTTTGTCAAACAAAATTCGAATCGAAATTTTTTATATATTCGTACTATGCGATTCTCATACGCGATATATGTTTTAAGGCTCTCTTTCGTCTTGTGTCTTGGCCAATTTTATCATTTCTTTTTCTCTCGCACTCCGTATCCCTCTCTCTCTCTCTTTCTTTTAACACTTTCTTCTCAGTAATCTTTAAAACCAACTTTTTTTTACCTGCGTCCTATAATTTTATTAAATCAATTATAAAAATTCCACATTTATGTATTACCATATTGAGTTACCAGATAGGATGACAAAATATAATCGGGAAGTTCCTAACCCGGTATATATTCACCAAATACTTCTGGAAGTTGATCGATTCCGATATTTTTTCAATTACGCAAATGCTCCGCAGAACGCAGAATAGTTTCTCTCGCATTGCTTAAAGACCTAACTGCTCTCTTTTTTGCCCGTTGGACACCGTTTCCACCGCAGCCTAGCTCGTAACATCCATTGGTGGGGTATAATAGTGTAAGGAATGCTGTAGATTTTAATTAATACAGATTACTTATAAATCCATTCAATTTGAACTGAGAGATTGCCACGTACCACCAACTATCAGAAAAATTTTAAGCGTTAAACTATTCATGATGTTCTCGCTCGAACCGCTTTATCTTGGCGAATGAAATTTATTTTATGACATTAGTTGGAACTTCTTCAAACTTTATCAAATTGATAAAGATGTGACTAAAAGTGTTATTCACAGTCAAAATTGACGCTGTAATTTTGAATTGCGCGCGTACTGTTAGCAACTATAACAGTGAGGTAACAGCATAGTAGCTTTAACAGTTTCATTCGAGCATGGGACAGGAAAAGAGACGCGGGAATAATAAAAAATGATAAATTAATAATATGTCTTTTCGTTTCTAATTTTATAAATATATTTAAATATACATATCTGCTGCCTCTTTAAAAAAAAAAAAAAAAAAAAGCAAAATATATTCATTTAGTTCAATTATAATTTCGAGTACATTATTATATTTTCTAATAAATGTATTTCATTTATTTGAATTCAGAAAGCAAAATATATAGAAATTATTAACGGCAGTTCGCGCTTGGGGTACATAAAATTTTAATAAAATAATAATTGTATTCATATACCGAATTTAAACCTTTAACGAGCTTTAAATATTCAACTTGATTATCAGTCGATATTCTATTCGTATTCGATTATCCGCAGCGCACTATCGGCGTGCAATCAATAAAATGTTATCGATAGACTATCGCTGCATGGTCTTGCAAATACGCGTTTACTAAATAGTATTTATTAAACGTGCCGTTGTTTCGACGTGTCAGTCCGTAGTAAATAATTATCAAGCGCTAGTCGCCAGTTCAACAAATAGAGTTTGACACGCGTCCAAATCAATCGGCAAAGTAGTATACACTTTGCCATACAACAACAACAACAGTAACAACAACAAATACAATAACTACTAATAATAACATCAGCATGGCGGAAAAAGTAAATGTTTGCATTGTTGGCTCCGGCAACTGGTGAGTGCAATAACAATAGGAACAACAACAATAACAAAAACACTTTGGCAAATTATATAATGATTGCATATTGCAACTTGGCTTTTTAAACCTTGTTCAGGGGCTCGGCCATTGCAAAAATTGTGGGCGCCAATGCATCCGCATTGCCAGAGTTTGAGGAGCGCGTCACAATGTTCGTCTATGAGGAGATGATTGATGGCAAGAAGTTAACGGAAATCATCAATGAAACTCACGAGAATGTTAAATATCTGAAGGGCCACAAACTCCCACCAAATGTGGTAAGTACAAAAAGATAATAAAAACAAAAGATCGAAAAAATAAAACAAAACAAAACAATTAGTTTGCTGCTAATTGAAAATCGCAAATAACAAGTTTATAAAAGCAGCCATTTGCTCTTATGCAATCTGTGCATTAGTATTAGTTGAATTATTAACAATTGCAGCTGCAGCTGCCCCTTACATAAAAGACGCCGCTGCCTTGATCTTGGCCGTGTCGTCGTGCAGCCAAATTATCTAATCAGACGAAAGAGCGGGCAAAACCTGCATACATATGCAGCTATTTTTACAAACCACTAAACGTTAGTCCCTCTCTCTCTCTCTTTCTCTCTCTTGTTTTTTGGCCCACGATGCACTTTTTTTCAGGGCCAACACATCAACAAAAGTTTCACCTTGCTCTGACGTCTGCACATTAAATAGAAACCTTCTACTCCTGCCATGCTGGCAATGCCAGCTCAGCCGCTGTCTTTGACGTAGGTCAAGGCCGGCTTGCACTCGCGCGCACTCTTATACACACACACACACTCTCTCTCTCTCTCTTTATTGCTCTCTCTTAACTGTTGAATTTAAAAATAATTGTGCCTGACACAATCGATTACAACTTTAACATTTACACAGTTCGATGGTGACTGTTACGTTATGTATTGTTTTCAATATACTTAAATTTATTTCAAAATATGTATTTATATATAGAACACATATAATTGCACAGCTGAATTGATAAGCTTAGCGCACAGCACTTAACAGCTTGTGTTTGCTGATTATAGATAAGCCGCATTGTTTGCAGGTCATGTTAAACATGCTGTTTGAGTTGTCTAGATAAAGTTCGCACCAATTGGAAATGTGTAGCTTTAATGTTAACAATGCGGAATTTTCCAAAACAAATTTTCAAATTTTGACTAGAACAGCTGGCGCTGCAAAATGATACAAAAAAAAAAAAATTAAATAAAAAAAAATAAAAACAATTATATATATATATATATATATATATATATATATATATATATATAACGAAATGATGTCTGTCCTTTCCTTTTGTTTTATATAAAATGAATGCCACATATACCTGTTTATGTATATTCTTAAACGCATATATGTAAATCTCTATTGCTATAAATTTTGGCAAGCTTTCAATAGTGAAAGCAAGCCGTAACAACAACAAATTGGAAAAACAAATGCTATATACACACACATGTATATATAGAAATAAGCGTCTATACGTATGTATTTAGTTTATAAACAAATCACCATGGGCCAGGCCAATGTCAAAACTGCAGGCAATTTGCAAAGTGTTCATCAAATTAAGTGTTTCGTGAGCCAACAAAAATATATACAAAACGGTTTTATATTTAGTTACTTGATAAGGAAACATCAGAGAGAGGAGAGAGGGAGAGAAAAGTAGTACAACAAATTATAGTTGCCTCGCTTTGTGCGTTTAGTCTGACGGAAATTTATATAGAGTTTTCTGATAAGAATTTGTTTGCTCTATTTTTATAGCTACTATAATTTAGAACTAATATGTGTCATGCTTAGAGTAAAACAAGTTTGTTACTATCAAGCATTGTTCTATACACATAAGTAAATATATATCAAGAGTATATATGTATCTTAATCAAGATAATAAACTGAACAAAGAAGTATTTCGCTGGACTTTCGACTGAAATATAAAGTAAATTTAGGCTGTTGATTATTCTTCTATTGTTTAAACAAAAATTTCGGATATATACATATATAATCCGTAGACTATATATAAAATATACAAAAAAAAATAAATAAAATAAACGCACGCATTTTGATATTTATTTTTATCTAAGTACAATTTTGGCAAAAAATAAACTTTCTTAATTGCCTATCTTTATATAATATATACAAATTTTTATTGCTAGCCAACGAGACGTTAAAAATGAACTTAGTTCCACTTTATTTTTTACACTTTTTACTGTATGCATTTTGTGAAGCAATTTCACGTTTTTATTACTAAATATAAAAAGTTTAATTTATTCATTTTTCATTTTTGAGATTATTTAATTTGAAATGCAAATAGAAGCTTAAAGCAAATTGCAAAAAGTATATATTTATTTATAATTTCTGGGCTCACTATCTAAGGCAACACCTGAACTTTATACCTTAAATGAACCGTTCATTATTATTATGCAAGACTTGCAAACCAGTTTTAAAGTGACAAAACAAACTGAAAAAATAACTAATCAATAGCAATCGATTCAGAAAGCTGCGATACAAGCCTCTAAAGTAGGTGTGTACACGTGTGTATGCCATGATTTTCATAGCGCTAAGAAACGTATTTTTTTTTTTTTTTTTTTATATATATTTCAAAGTTTCCTTCATTCAACCTTGAGGTTATCAAAAGTAACAATTTTGCTGGCTTATCAAAATATGTTTTCTTTTATTGATGCAGAGAAGAACCTAATGTATTTATTTGCCTATTTACAGGTAGCTGTACCCGATCTAGTCGAAGCTGCCAAGAATGCCGACATACTCATTTTCGTAGTGCCCCATCAGTTCATACCCAATTTCTGCAAGCAATTGCTGGGCAAGATCAAGCCAAATGCCATTGCCATATCCCTGATCAAGGGCTTCGATAAGGCTGAGGGCGGCGGCATTGATCTTATTTCGCACATCATCACCCGCCACTTGAAGGTAAGTCCATATGTTTATACTGAGTGAGAGGGAGAGAGAGTAGCTAATATTTTTCCGGTCTATCCCATTGTCACCAGATACCATGCGCTGTGCTGATGGGCGCTAATCTGGCCAACGAGGTGGCCGAGGGCAACTTTTGCGAGACGACAATCGGCTGCACGGACAAAAAGTACGGCAAGGTGCTGCGTGATCTCTTCCAGGCCAATCACTTCCGCGTCGTGGTCGTCGAGGATGCCGATGCCGTTGAGGTTTGCGGTGCCTTAAAGAACATTGTCGCCTGCGGCGCTGGCTTCGTGGATGGCCTCAAGCTGGGCGACAACACCAAGGCAGCGGTCATTCGTCTAGGTTTGATGGAAATGATTCGCTTTGTCGATGTCTTCTACCCGGGCAGCAAGCTATCCACTTTCTTTGAGAGCTGCGGTGTGGCGGATCTCATTACGACATGTTATGGTATGCTCATAAGAGAGATTGAGAGACAAGGAGTGAGTTTCTTCTTATGCGGAAATTTCTTTCCAGGTGGCCGCAATCGTCGTGTCTCCGAGGCTTTTGTCACATCGGGAAAAACAATTGAGGAGCTGGAGAAGGAAATGCTCAATGGCCAGAAATTGCAGGGCCCGCCCACTGCCGAGGAAGTCAACTATATGTTGAAGAACAAAGGCTTGGAGGATAAGTAAGCTCGAAAAAGCTATACAAGATTCAAATATCAGTATGTATCTATATATATTTAACAAAATTCAATTTCTTGCAGATTCCCACTGTTCACAGCTATACATAAAATTTGCACAAATCAGCTTAAGCCTAAAGATTTAATTGATTGCATACGCAATCATCCCGAGCATATGTAAGTGTTGAGTTTCTTTTTGTTTTGCTTCTTGCACAGCTGCACATGAAACGTTTAAAGAGTTCCTCCCGCAACTCCCTTCCTTTGCCTTTTCTACCCAACAACCCACACACACAACTTTATAATTTTATGATTTCCCTTATATTTTGTATTTAATTTGCTAATTGAAATTTTTGTACAACCTGTAATTGCTTTTTGTTTTTAGCTTAGGCTTTTTATATACTATATATAGTTTGTATTTAATTTTTAAGTTTATGCACTTAAACTATTAGCATGTTTTGTTGATCTTTTGATTTAATCTAAGTTAACGTTTTGATACAACTACACAGAATAATAAATAAAACTCAAAATTCAAAATTTCTAGTTAGCCAACTGTTTCAAATAAGTTTTAAATATTTTTCTTCTACAATTCTCATTCATTCCCAATTCCCATGCATAGTAGCTAGACACATATCCTAATCCCACATTAAACCTTTTCCAATCCCCATTTCGTATGCATTTTTACAATATCAACTTTTATGTTTCATCAACAACAAACAAATTTGTTTTCTTCTCTTCTTTTTTATATGATTTCTCATAGGGACTCGTTCATCATGCCGTCGCCAAAACTCTAAACTGTGTTAAACACCAAACAATAAAAAAAAAAAACTGTTTATAAAGAGATAACAAGAACTCGATTGTAAATACTATTTGTTTATAGCTCCAAGTCAATTCATACTCGCATACTCACGCACTTGCTACAAATATACATACATATATATATACATACAAATATATATAGTATGTATTCACAAATCGCTTCCTTCGCCTAATTTCAAGCATACATTATTAAATCTTCTATATTTACGATTATATTTGTGTTCATAAGAGAAAACGTCAGTGTCATATTTGTTAAACCAAAATGAATTTTGTTCAAAACATTAAAAAGTATTTAAATATTTTTGTACATATATAAAAAAGTTAAAAGCATAAGTAGAAAAAATATTCCGAAATAAAACATTATTTAATAAACAAAAAAAAAACAATAATTGGCAACTACAAATCGGCAGAGAGCAGTACGTACCAAAATTTGAAATATTTATTATTGATTGAATTTTTTGTTTGTTTTAATTCACGTTTGTATTTTGAATGCAATTTTGAAATGTTTTCATTCACCAATTTGCAAGCACTTAAAAAAATAATGCCGTTTTGTTTTCTATCCCGCAGGCAAACTTTGTAAAATAGTAATTACAAATTTTTAAATGTTTTTATGCACCAAAAAAAAAAAAATACAACAACAACAACAACAAAAATAAAATGCAAATCAAGAGTAAATAGCAAAATTTTCAGCACACGTTTATGCATCCACAGAAGCTAAAATCATAAACCTATTTCTACCCAGTCAACGACAAGAAAGTATATAGGTTGTTAATTTAATGTTTAAAATATTAAATATCCAACGCATATCCAGCAAACCACAGAGAAACGAACAAACAATGAAAACAATCTTGAAGTCTGCTTTTTGTTTTAACTTAGTTTATAAAAGAAAATATAATTGACGTTAGCGAGAAATGAGCGTATGTACCTAAAAGACAATTGTAAATATCAACAGTGAGTTTTACAATTACGAATGCAGAAACAACAGAGGCGTAATAAATGGAACGGCAATGGTTTAATTTAAAATGAACAGAGAGAAATACAACTAAGACGAAATTTTATTTGCATTAGAATATCCTAGTGATATAATTTGAATGGCGTAGTTATAAATTATAAATGAAAAATAAAAATCTGTTTAAAAAAGTGAGTATAAAAAAAAAAAACAAGATTTGAGTTTATTTGGGGCATCGTTTACGCATTTGAAAATTTCGTTGCCGCTCTGGTTTACGGATAAGTATAAATCTATCGGTACTCATATCGATTATTCTAATATTTTCAAACAGCTGATTGTACTGCACCAAAATACAACCCTGTGTTTACGTTTCCTGCTGACTGTCATTTTTAGCAATAACAAAAGTGTTTCTCATTCGCGAGTGGAATATTTTTGTGCATAAACAGGATAAGCGGACAAAAGAGATGTTGAATTGATTGCTAAATTTCTAGAAAACTAAATTTCTATATAAAAATATATGTGGAACATGTAGGACTTCCGTTTTATGTGCACTCGCCAATGGCGTCTTAATTGACTTTTATTATTCTTAGACAGATTGTAGCAAAATCATAAACATCAAAATAGAATTAGGTGAAGTACGTGGAATGCGAAGTGCAAATTGTATTTGGGGCTGCGTGAGTGAACATCTGCGTTTCGATGTGTGTGTGTGTGTATTTATTAATATATTGTTTGCATTCGTTTTTCAGTTGATAAACGAAAAAAGCTGCAACGCATAAAGCTGATTCACTTAGACGAGCAACCAACAAAGCGTAATTGAACCCGCAGCTGTAGCAGCTGGCGTTGATTTTGTATATATGGGCGACACCTGCTAGCCAGCAATGGATCCACAAAAGATCACCGAATTGGCTAACTTGCTGCGCAAGAATGGCGACAAAATCCTGAACTCTGAATTTACCTTGACCTTATCAGGTGAGCAGCAGCGGACCAAGCATGCAGGCGGGACATGACTAAACCGAGACCCCACCCACTCAGCTATTTCGTGCGCAGCACGATTAGCTACCTTATCAGGCTAAACCATTTTCTCACAGACATACTTATACACTTGCAGGTTCACTGTTGCGCGCTTTAAATGATTCCTTTACGTTGATTGCCGACAGCGATATTTCCGCTGTCGCTGGACTTAGCACGTTGCAGAAGCAACAGCACGCCTTCCAGGTGGTGAAGCCCATCAATGCCAAATCGAGCGTGTTTGCGGATTTACAGCTGCTGCACGATTTCGTGCAGAAGACAACGCTGCTGAAGCTCAGCTATTTTCCCAGCGAGCATTACTTTGAGGGCGCCATTGATATATGCAAATTTCGTGCGCTGCTTCGTTTGGAGGTGCACAAGATCAACATACGCCAGGTGGTGGGAATTCAAGCCCTGCGCGCCCAGCTGCAGCATTTGATATGCATCAAGAGCCTGAACAATGTGGAGGACATCATTACGCATTGCGGCGGGGATATGTCGAATGGATTTGTGTGGAACGAACTGCAGTCGGCTGACTTTAGCTACAATAATTTGCGCTCTGTGGATACGGCTCTGGAGTTTGCGCAGCATTTGCAGCACTTGAATTTGCGCCACAATAAGCTAACCAGTGTAAGGGCCATCAAATGGCTGCCCCACCTCAAGACGCTCGATGTGAGCTACAATTGCCTGACACATATACCGCAATTCCATGTGGAGGCATGCAAATGGCTGCAGATGCTAAATATAAGCAACAACTATGTGGAGGAGCTGCTCGATATGACCAAGCTGGATGCGCTAACTAATATGGATCTGTCCGACAATTGTTTGCTGGAGCACTCGCAGCTCTTGCCGCTGAGCGTTCTCATGACGCTCACTGTGCTGAATTTGCAGGGCAATCCTTTGGCCTGCCATCCCAAGCATCGTCTGGCCACGGCCCAGTATCTGCACAAGAACACGGCGACAGTGAAATTTGTGTTAGACTTTGAACCGCTCTCCAAGGCAGAGAGAGCATTAGTTGGCAGTCAGCAGATGCGGTTTGTGGGCTCCATGAGTCATCGACGCGTGAGCAGCCATGTATCCATAAACAGTTCGAGGGCGTCTATCAATACACCACCATCGAGTGTGGGCTCGCAGCGTTCGTTCTCGACCAGAGGCAAGGAGTCCTCGTCGGAAGCCGAGCAAACAACGGTTGATGTGCAAATGGACAAAAGACGCGGGAAATCTAAAAAACTGCGCACAGTAGAAATTGCGGAACATGGCAATGAGGTGGCCACCGAAGCCACTACAGCTACAGCGGCAATCGAAGCAAATAGTCGGGTGGCAGAGAAACCACAAGAGGCCACCGATGGCAGCCACTTGGAGACGAAGAAGCAAATTGAGACACTGCGTCTTAAGTTTGGCAACGAATGGTTGCAGTCGGGCAACGCGGAGCAAATGTTTGGCCTAGATGCGCCGCAGCCCAGTGAAGAGGAGCGCAATGAGGCACGCCAGCAGTTCAATGAATTCCTAGGCGAACTTTCGGCTTCAGCGCAACAGGCAAAGCCGCAGCCTGAGCCAGATGAGCCACTTAACTCCACGCCCACCACCCAGAGTAATTGGGGTGACACATTTAATGCAACGTTGACACCCATCAAGAGAGAAGCCAACAAGGAGACGGACCTGAACCAAACACAGCAAACAGTCTACGAGTCGTGCAACAACAGCATCCAAACGGAATATGAGAGCATGAACAATACTCTGTCAGAACAGCCAGCAGAGCCTGAAGCGAAAGAGGAGCAAGAGATCGATATTCACAAAAAAGTGATCGAAAGCTATATAAATTCGTCTACTGTGGAGGAAGAAGAACCAGGTGAGATCCTCATTGAAAGAATAAGTGTAAGCAGACTAACGAAAAATTTATAATCTTTCAGTTTCCGAAGAAGAGCCCGATGAAAAGGTCTATATCGTTTATCACGAAAACAAAACGACCGATCCTTTGTTCCTTACCATATCCTCTAATTATGTTCGCGAAAAGGATGCGCTCAGCGAGAGGTTGGATATTATATAGCACAATTATATATAATTAATTAAATATGAAATATTCTCTATTTGCAGCACCAAGACAAAATGGAGCATCAAGGTCTTGGAGTCATGCGAGCGAATCAAATCCAATACGCTGCGCATCAATTTCGATACAATGCAAAAGGATAAACAGGAACGTATTTATTGCGTGGAGAATGCACTCTGTCAGGTATATGAAATATATATAATCGAACCAAAACTTTTAATTAATTATTCATTTATTTACTTAGGAACTTGAAAAGAAACTACGCGACATTCTATCGCAGCGTGATCTCACTGAAATGAATATAATCATCTATAGCTGCGTCAATTGCGGCATCAAGTTCACCAGAGAACGTAAAAACAAGAGCTACAAGACAGCGGGTACAGCTAGTAACAGTGAACACTACACTAAGAGCAACTTCTAATAGAAATTCCCCTCCCTTCACAGAGCTGCGTTGCCCGGACTGTCGCAGTTTGTTTGTGGCCGAGGTGAACGATGAGTGCGGCTCGTTGGATAAACCCAAAGTTGCTGCAGTGGAGCCGAAGCTATCGCCGGCGTTAATTGTAGAGGAATCGCCTGTTAACACACCGCTGAGTGTGATGTCCAAAGAGGACAATCAAAGTATTGGCAAGTTCTTGGCTAGTCTGCTATTCTATGTAGATCCAATTATGGAAATTATTTAAAACGGATAAATTGACTCAAAAAAAAAAAAACATTTAACATGTAGTTTAGTGTAACCTATTCAAACCATTTTTTATTCTATAAGCGGCTTTAAAGTAACATTTTGATTTTGGCTTATGATTATTTTAGAAATTAACTACAATTGATATACTTAATTGATTTGTATTATTTTTTATTTCTTTTTCTTTTTGCATGCTTTAAAACACAAACACACACACACAAACAACATACAACACACATTTCTACACTGAAATCCGAATGGCAAACTGCGAGTTAATCTAACTTTTCGTGTATTCTTATGTATTCCTTTTGTACCATTTCGCTCACCCAACTGCAACAACAACAACATCAACTTTAATTGTTACAATACTATTTTAATTATTTAGTGGGCAACAGCAGGCTCATCGCTAATAGCACACCCAAGCGTAGGAGTTTGATGCAAACCACAAAAAGTTAATATGCCAATTTTAATGTACTATATGAATTCTCATTTTTTTTTGTATTTCTTCTGTTGTTGACAGCAATTTGCATTTGGCTTCTTGTTGTCTGTCCTATGAAGCAGCATTTGGGCATGCAAAATCAAACCATTAACAAACTAATCTATTCAGCTAACAAAAGTCGATTCTATTCCAAATTGAACACACCATAAAAAAAATTTTAATTGCGCTTCATTTCTCTTGAGCGAAAGCAAATCAATGCTGCTTCAATTAGAGAGAAACATTTTTAACGATATATTTCAAACCAAACTAATGTTTCCAAATATTTCTACAGGTTCGGCTAATTCGCTAAATGAGAGCAGCTCCTGCTCGAAGATAACCAACTCGCAATGCTCCTTCGACTCCAATCAATCTGTTGTGGGCAGTTCCAATACGGAGCGAGATCTGGAGTTTCGTGCCAATGAGAGCGACGTGGACATTATCTCCAATCCAAGCCAATCCAGCATTGAAGTGCTGGATCCCAGCTGTGCGCATAGTGCCAGTCGCAAAACGTCCGAGGAGCGTCGCATATCCCAAATGCCCAATCTCCAAACCATCGACGATGATCTAAGTCAATCGCAGAGTTTCATCGAACACGAAGCTCTTGTCGAACAGGCTCGCTTAAATTTCGAGGCGATGCCAACGGCTGCGACGACCACACTGGACACAACGGTAAAATCTAAAGCCCTGGCACAAATCCAACTAACGGAGAGCAGCTCGTCGGGCTCAGTGACCGACAGCATTTGCACAACCTACGAGCAGCAGGCCAAGCAACCGACAACGGATAAGCCGCAAAAGCAACCTACCGATGATGCCGTCATTCTGCAAAATATGCTGCTGGCTGAATCTGGAGGCAGCACAACTCATCCACAGCACAACAACAACAACAACTACAACGAGGTGACTGCAGCAAATGGTCATAGTGAAACAACACATCTGAAAACAGCAGAGGATGCACATCTATCCATCATGTTTGGTGGTGCGTATGCAAATAAATAAAACTATAATAATTTAGAAATATTTTAAGCAAAATATGAAAGTCCTATTTCTGACTGGATAGCTAAACTGCGATTGTTAAAGTAAATGCTCTTAAAAAGGAATAGTTTCTATATACGTACATATACATATACATATACATACAAAGCTATTGTATATACATACATATGCTGAGAATCGCTTAGAAGGGTACATTTACTTAACAGAGAAATTAATAGAGTAACGGAAAAGAATAGATAATAATCAAAAGCAATCTTAAATCGATATTAGTATTATTATAATTGCATATATATTGAGATATATATTTTATACATTTTCAGCTCTTTTCCAATCCACCAGCATGCTGATGTCGAGCTCAAAAAAGCTAACTGCAACGGAGGCTACTGCCAGCCCAATGCAGCCATATAAATTTAATTATAGCGACTACCATGACATCGATCATCGTTTGAAACTCTATTTCTATCAGAGCAAATTCCAGGAGTCGGGTGAACACTTTAAGTGGCTCGCCAAGGGTCGAATTTACAATGAGCAAACGCAAACGATGCGCGATGGTTTGCTGGTAATCTCCACCAGCAAGTGTTACCTGATGGAAGCGTATGCACCAGCCCAGGATGATGTGGCCAAGTGGCTGCGACAGGTGATTAGCCTGCCAGTGAATCGTTTGACACGCATACAAGTGTTGCCCTGGAAACTGGGCTTATCTTTCACACTTCGGGACTGGGGTAACTTCCTGCTAATACTGCAGGATAGTGTGCGAACAGATAATTTGCTGATGTACCTGGCAGGTGAGTTCATATGGTTCAGATTATCGAAACAGACAATTATTTATTAATTATTCCTTTGTTTCTCTAGAAAATCCGCTGCCCAAGGAGTGTGAGATTATTCAACATCCATCGGATGTAGTGCGTCAGCGACTCACTTCTCTAGTGGCTGAACCACTTAAGGTGTGCGCCTTATTGAGCGGTTGTCGCTGGACTTCCGGTCACGAGAAACGAAACTTTGAGCTCTGCACGCTGCTCACAACCGATTCGCAATTGTTTATTGCCGGCAATGACAAATTCAATTGGCTGGCATCCAACGAGGAGAAGCAGCCACCCATTGAACTAACTCTAACGCAGCTAATGAGCAATTTGGTGGAAGTAGACCGACTCTCAGATATCGAATATAATGTAAATTTCCTGGATGAAACCGAAAACAAAAGCGAAATTTGGCATTTGCAATTCGAAACCCTGGCGAATGCCGAGTTATGTCTAAATGCCATTGGCAAATCATGGGAAGAGCTATTTGGCGTACCATTTAGCTACTCTGGAACGTAGTATTTGTCTGTTGATCAGGGACCAATTATAATGAATGTCATATCGAAACAGACAATTTATATTTAACTAACAATTATTATGTGCAAATGTCTAAATTGAATTGTTAGCATATTAACCATTTAACTAACAATCGTTATATAAATATATATAGATCATATCTAACTGTCTAGCTTTATGTTTGAAGAGATGTAGATATTTATATATATTTAAAATATAGAATTTTAGTATTGCAATCATGGACAATATGGATGTTAAGTAACTAGTTAGACGAGATATGTAAAAATTGTTTGTGTAATATCTATTTTATATACAACTGTAAAATATGTACAGGAAATAATGCATATAACGTACGAAATAAATACATATATATATATATATACATATATAAATTGCCAAGAAAACATAATTAAAGCTAAGCAACATATATTTTATATATGTTTATCAATTAAACATAACTTTATTTCGGTTAAATTAAATCGCAAAGTGCGGCTCATCTTATTGGGTAAAAAACAAAGTCTATTCCATTAAGTGCCGAACCAAACATAATTTAGGCTGCTATAATTTTTAGGATTATGGTTAAATTACCAATTATTGAATGAATTTTTTGAAAGTTTTGCAATATAATATGTATGTATTGGCTGTAAGTGACTCTGAATGCAATAAAATGAAATTTTTGTGAATATATTCATATACATTCACATAATCATACGGATACCTATATTATTATTTTTAATGAAAAATCTACGCAGAAGTTTTAAATCGTAAGAGCAGTGCAAGTTAAGCAACTTTTTATATCCACCGTTCGATAGATGTCGCTGCTTGGGGCAAACTGACCACAGATGGCGCCACGGGTATCAACTTTTGATACAATTACTTTTAATAACTAAAATAACGATAAACCAAAAAACGTTTAAAACCATGTTTTTAAATTATCAATATACATTTCAATATATAAAAGAAGAAGATCTCAACCGTTAAATATTTGTTTAATGTACACTTAATAATTGTACTTGAGTGTTACATTTTAATTTTAATAATCGGCGCTGCCTAGCTAAAGTAATCCTCTTTATATGGTATATATATTTATATATGTACAATACCGCTGAGCATTCCCAACGAATCTACTTATCACCCAATTGCTCGGCTATCCAATCGAGATGCTCTTCCTTATAGCGCGGATCGGCCATAATCAAGGCTGTTGACTTGGAAGTGTAGTAGTAGTAAACCGACACTGTTGAGTAAAACAAAATTCGGTTTTATATGAAAAACTTTCGAGAAATTTGGGAACTTACTTAGGCGCTGCAGCACTGTCAAGGCGTAAAGTGCCAAAGGCCATTGCTGAGCGGATTCTGATGGCGACACTCGATACAGATAGATAGTCCAGGAGTGCTGCGAGGCAGACAGCAGAAAATAGACCGTAATGCTGAACAAAAATAGCTTGCAATTGCGCAGGATAATGTGGGAGGCCCCCACCTGGTAGACGCATGTCGAGTGTAGAGCCAAAGTAAACAGCAGATACTCAATAATAATAAAAGCATCTTGAATGCTTTAGCAGAATAGGGAATATATAAGCAAATAGATTTCGATTAAAACCTATATTCTATTGGCAAAAGTCTTGGCACTCACATGAAAAAGAAAATTGCTGTTTGAAGTTTATCCCGCGACAGCCAGGAGCCAAAAGCATTGAAAAACAAATCGACCGCAAGCAAAGTTAGTTGCATTGCCACCAGCCATGAATAACGATGGAGCGTTAGCTTCATCTTGAGATTTTTATTAAAATTGAAAGAGAACTAAAACTTTCGTTCGATACACTGCCCACAGGTTTGTCGCTTATTTGTTTTGTTTGTGTCTATGTTGTGTCCTTCGTCCTAGTGACGTCAAATGCGCCCACGCGAGCATGCGCGGAGCAACATTTAAATCGTTAATCGATAAGCATATCGGGATTGTGCAAATTGCTTTTAAAAGTAACAGTTGATAAATAACAAATTATACAATTTATAATTTGAAGGATAAATAAAATAAAAGAATTTACAGTTTTAATTCCTCATCTTAACCCAATAAAAAAATATATTTCGCCAAGACATTTCTAATTACTGATTTTGCTCATTGATAAACAGCTATCTAAAATCCTTGTTACTTAAGATCATTTCACATTACTCTCTAGTTTCACCACTCTCTCTCTCCCTCTGTCTTCCTTTATTTATCTGAAGTCAAATGTTAATAAAGTGTATGCAGTTTAATATGCATATGCTTGTACATACATATAAGCGTAACAAAAAGCTTATATACACACATATATATACATATGAGTATGTATACATTTATCGACATTTTTAATATACATAGTTAAATATATATGCGAATGTACATACATACCACCACTATACCAGAATATATGTAAGTCTTAACACAAATAAATAAATACACAAAATTGCGATTTTCATTAGGTAAATATGTACATATGTATGTATGTATGTAAATATACGTCGCTAGACAAAAGACGGAGCCCTAGCGAGCGGGGTGCAACCGATCAATTAAGCAGACGCTCACAAACTAATTTGTCTCAATGGCTTGACATGTTTTCTAATCCACAGGCAAATCTACATTTGTATACATATGTGAGTTATACATTTTAACTACTCCACCCTCACATTCCAAAAAGCTTACGTCTTGTATAAGCACTCTCAGCTGAGAGGAGCCCAAGCTAGGTTAACGGGATCAAAAGCATTGCCGCCATTGGTGGAGGCGGCATACAAGCACAGCCCTGCAAAAGCCACTTATGATAAATACTTGTTACTGACAGGCCAAACACACAAATAACAGTATCGAAAGCCTCAATGAGTGAACTCTTTGCACAGAAGCTCTGTGATAGGTCGCTTACGAACTTGTACGTTTGCTACACTTTTATATACATTCATACATATGCACTTGTATTTCTCACTTTCAGATAGTGTTATTTATATGTATATGATTATTTAGCATGTCCTTAATTTAAGAAATATGAACTCAAATATTCATTATAATGCACAAATTATATCCGAATTTAGTTATTTATTTACTTTCAATTTTTATTAATTTAGATATAACGCGCATATTCAAATGGATATGGCCGAGCTCTTCGCAGATCCTTTAGCTGTAGCCGGGAGTGCCTGCGAAATCTCATATAATATTGTTGATTCAATTCCGAGTAAAAGTTTGTCGGCAAGAATTGCGTCCAGCCGAGCTCGTCTTGATTGGGCTCCAGAAAGTTGTACAAAGCAGAGACCGAAGATAGCTTAGGGTCGAAAATTGCAGCTGCTACTGCAACTGGAATACCCGAATTCAGCAGTGTTACCACTAGCAATAGAGTCTTCAACTTAGACATTTGGAATTGGTGTTAGCCGGTCAGAGATTTACCTTACACCCTTCGCCTTGGTTATCATAAACCCAACTGCAACTCCATTTGAGTCGTCAGCAGTTTGCACTTATTGGCTTTGCGCTTTTTGCCTGCTATTGGTGTTTTGGCATTTTCTGATTTTCCAATGTGATCAGCGTTTTTCGACAGGGCTATAAAGCGAAGAGCCTCGCCACCGATCAACTACAGTCACCCATTCGATTCCACTTCGATCGCAAGTTAAGACAGCATTAACTATCGCCATGGTATTCAACATTGGACACATCTTTCTGGTCACACTGCTCGCCGTAGTTTGCGCCGCAGAGACGATTCAATTGCAGCCAACGCAAGGCATCCTGATCCCAGCTCCATTGGCCGATAACATTCGTGTGTCGCGAGCTGCCTACGGTGGCTATGGAGCACCAGCTGCTGCACCCTCCTATTCCGCTCCAGCTGCACCATCATACGGCGCACCAGCTGCACCCGCTGCACCCGCTGCTCCTGCCTATGCTGCACCCGCCGCACCTGCTGCCCCAGCCTACGCCGCCCCAGCACCAGCCGCACCCGCCTCCATTCCAGCCCCACCGTGCCCCAAGAACTACCTGTTCAGCTGCCAACCCTCGCTGCAGCCCGTGCCCTGCTCGGCCCCAGCTCCCGCCTATGGCAACGCCGGCGCCTATTCCCAGTACGTTCCCCAATACGCCGTGCCCTTTGTGCGCGAACTGCTATAAATAATTGATCCTGACATTCGGCTTACCTGGTCCAATAAATTGAAGCTATAAAGAAAAATATATAATTTGTTGTTTATTTGTGTTTATATTCTAAATAGGCAGATCACTAAAGTGATAATTATTTTATTATTCAAACTATATGGGTATAAATATAAAAAGTGACATGAATTTCTATTGTTAGCAAGATGGTCAAATGTCTACCCAGATGAGTTTGTCATATTCTGCGTATTAATAAGCTTTAATTAATAAATCTCTGAAATCATTTTTGATAGACTTATAAACATTGAATTGAATTTGATGGCTGAAGATAAAAACAGAAATATAAGAAATACAAATAATATAAATCATATAATACTGTATACATATATATAAATAATATAAATTATAATAAAATATATCTAAATTGTATTTTTTAGAATATATCAAAGTACACTTGCCGTTCCTTTGATTCTAAAAATATTTTTTATTTGTATTTTATTTATTCAATTAATTAATAATTCATTTATTTTTAATTTATTTTATTTATTTATTTAATTTTTTTTTTTTTTCATGCATGTAGATTTATAGTATATATTATACATCTTAAAAGAGGAACAAATATGTATTTTAAATAATAATAATAAATATTAAAATAATAAATTCTAAAATATGATCAATATTCAACTTTTCAGATAGTTAAAATACAATTTAATTTCTTTTCTTGTAATTGAATTTGGAAAACAAAACATAAACAAACTAAATAAATCTTTACAGAATAATGATGCAGAACTGAAAAGACTTTAAAATCTGAATAATGAGAAGTCTATAAATTGTGATTGTTTCTGTTTTCTAGACCAGATCATCTTATCTTATTTCAGATGGTGTCACTTCATAGACATCTGTTTTTCAGCTGTAGATGTTTTCAAAAACCTACCATAATCAATCAATCTGTGTTTGTCTTCGCTTCAGACGATAAGCAAACCACCCCGACAACAAAAACAACAACATAATAATTGTAATTCTTAATTTTCTGGTTTTATTTTTAGATATCAATATCAGTCCTTTGGTCTCTCAATATCACCACAGGGCACTGGCTTCAGCACCGGCTCACAGGAGAAGACATAATTCTTGGCACAGGGCGGCGATGGAACGCTGGGCGCAGCATATAAAACTGGAGCTGGCTGTTGTTGTTGCGGCTTCTCTTCTGGTTCCTCTGCTTCGTAGCTACGTCCGAAACCACCACGGAAACCACCGCCAAAGCCACCGCTGAAGCCACCGCCAAAGCCGCCACCGCGTCCAAAGTCTCCACGTCCAAAGCCACCACGGCCAAAGCCAGGTCCACCTCCAAATGCAGGCCTGCCAAACGACGGTCCGCCAAACGGTGGACCACCAAAGCCGCCTCTGCCCGGCAAACCAAAGTTATTCTCCACATTCACTTCCTGCACAATTTGCTGTTGACGTGGCTGACGCAACAGCTCCACACTGTCCCCCAGCTGTTCCGGCGTATACAAGCGTACGGGTATAAAGCGATATAGCTGCCCCGTGGGACTGCGCACACAGCGCTCATTACATTGCCCCTTGGCCAGGGATAGCAGGCAAAGGTAGCTCGCTAGCAGCAGCGCAAACGGCGCCCAGTGGGTGGCGAACATGGTGATCTGATGGATACGGGTGGAGGTAACTGAACACCTGAAGTACTATGAAGCTGTAAGCTGAGACTAGCCAGCAGTTGGCTGCAGCCAGTTGGTTTTTATTAGTGCGAAAATTTGCAGCGTCAAGCGGAAATGGAGTTCAGGTCAAATAGCAGAGAGTGCTTCAAGGTGATTTGGCTTGGCTAACTGGGTTACTTGGCCAACATGGGGCCAAGGCTAATGGCGAGTCTCTTTGTACATTATAATAACACAAACATTTCCTTTAAATACATTTCCTAAGCAACATGTGTCACCAGACACAAGTCGAACGCTATTCGGGCAAAACTTTGCTTAGACATTCGACTGAATCTAGCTGGCCAACATCTGTTAGCCGTTTGCGTATATCTTATTACCAAACAAACTTTGCTTCAGCTTGAGCGATTTAGGTTGCCAACTTTGTCGCTTATTTTGCAATCAACAATTCTTTTACTTTCTACACACACACACACAAAAAAGTCAAATCAAAACAAAATTTGCTCGGTTCAAAGACCTCAGCCATATGCAATAATAATTTTATTTGCAATTATGGTAAAATTATAGGGCTAGAGTAAGGGAGCGAAAGTGCCTAATAAACATTTTTCTAAATATACATACAATATATAATATATATTTATACATGAATATGTATATACAATATTTAATATACATTATAGATATGTATATGCTGATCTAAAGTTTTTTTTTTTTTTTTTTTTTTTTTTTTTGTACTTTTTGTAGGTGTTGCTCTTGATTTGGTAAAGTTTGCTAAAGCTTAGCAGCTCAAAGTTCAGTAAAAATTGTATTAATAAAAAATCTACAAACTAAGTTAAAATTAATCAAAAACAAAATTGTATGTAGTACAGTCATTTTTTTGTAATTTGTAAAAGAATCTCTGAAGTATATATTAAATTTGTTTATTCTGCATTGAGTCAAAAGAGAGTATATTGGTTTTGTATCTCTGTCTGTATGCACCCAATGCATTTAGCAGCTATTGAAGCTAGATATCAAACATGTGGAATCAGCTAAAACAAAACAAAAAATTATACAAATATAATTTTTAAAAACGGTCATAATATCTGATCATTATTTAATTGGATATGAAAGAACGAGTAAGCCTCAAACATAAAATAATTGAATCTAGATTGAGTCGATTAAAATTAGGGAAATTAAAACTAAGATATTTTGTTACACATTTTCAAAATGAAAAATACAGAAAAATACCTATACATAATAGAATTTCATATTAAATAGGGGTTGGTTATATGTCTAAAACTGAGATGTTTGACTAAGACTAAGTTGATATTTTCAATATAATACCAAATTTAATAAAAATGTACGAGAAATTCTTTTGCATATTTTTTATAATAATAGAAAAATTTATGTATATACAAATTAAATTAAGTAAAAATACATATTTTTATCTGAACTATTTAACATTTGTCCGGAAACAGAAAAACACTTGTAATTCGATTGAAAATAAAATCTAATTAGACTTTACATCCATATGGAAGCATGCCTTATATTTCACATTAAATAGAAATTGTTTTTGTACTTGGGAAAAGCCAAAATAGATTTTTTCGTTGTTTAATTGAAATGGAAAACAATTCGCTCTGTATTGATATTTATATCCAGCTATCGGATAACAATTTGAAACAAACAATTCAATAGAACAGCTGTAATAGCAGCAATGCTGTGGAGCTATAGAGTTTCGAAATGCTGAAAATACTTGAGTAAAACATTTGCGACTATAGAAAATTTGTTTTTATGCATTGATCTTTATTGTTCTTTTTTTTAGTATTTTCTTTAAGCATGGCAAAGATTTTGGTTTCTCGGCAGCTCGGTGAAGCCGTGTCTAATTCAAGTCCTCAGATTCTTCGTATGTTCTTCTAGTAACCGTAGCCGTAAGCCTGGGGCAAATAGGCAGCACCGTAGAGGTTCTGCTGATGCTGGGGCACGCCGTAGCTGGGGGCAAGATAGCTGGCCACAGGCGAGGAGTAGGCGCCGGCAGATCCGTAGCCCTGAGATGGAGAGCTACATGGCACTGGCGCCAGGTTGGGCTGGCAGCTGAACAGGTAGTTCTTGGGGCAGGGAGGAGCTGGAACACTGGCTGCGCCGCCGGAGCTGCCGCCGCCATAAGCGGACTTGCGTAGACGGGTCAAATCACCATAGCCCTGGCTATCAGACTCAGATTCCTGGTTGCCTACAGAGCCGGAGGGATTGGCCAAAGCGGAGCCAACAATGGCGATGAGGGCGAAGCACACGAAGAATTTCATCTTGAATTGTTGATTCTTTTGCTGTTACCAAAGGTGACTGATGCCAGTTGTAACCCCACACTCGGCTTATATAGCTAAACTTTGTCAACTTGGCATAAAGTCGACAGCCAAGTGACTTTGACTAGTTTGACTTTTACTTTTGTCTTTCGCTTAATCAGCTATCGCTGATCACTCCATAAATCGCACTAAATACTAGTAATGCAGTAAAGTCATCAACATGTGCCGACATTTGCATTTCGTTGCATTGGATTAGCCCATCATTTTTGTGAATTAATAAATATATTATATACATTAATATGTATGTATTATAGCAATACTTATAATAAAAAAAATATCTCTTTCTACATCTGCATATAATTCTACTTAAATTTAGAACTATGCTAGAACTGTATTCTATAGTTTCTATACAGCCATACCTTTATTTAAGCCAAATCCTATAGTTATTTTCATACCCATTAAGGAGTAAGTAAGGAGTAAGGAGAGTATATTGGTGTTATGTAACGTTTGTCTTGTTGCTCGTCCGCCTATCTATCTGAAAGCGCAGTGTTTTGGTACTATGCAAACTATATGTTTAATTTGTTTTGTATATAATTAGACCCTGAACCCATTGAAAATGCGAAATCAGGGTATAATGGTTTTATGAAAAAGTATGTAACGGGCAGAAGGAATCATCGCAGACCCCATAAAGTATATATATTCTTGATCAGCACGACGAGCTGACTCGATATAGCCCTGTCCGTCCCTCCGTATGAGTGCGTCGATCTCAGAAGTTATAAGAGCTAGAGAGCTGAAATTTGACATGCATAATCCTGTGTACCTGTGTATACGCAGTACAAGTTTATCTTAGTTTTTCGATAATACAAAAGAAACTATTAAACAAATAAATTCTCATAATATTGCCCACACTGCAGCGCAGCCCAAGCGCAGTCGCTGCTAACTGCGCCGTCAGCAGAGCGCGTGATTATACGTGCGTGTGAATGCGTGTGTATGCCATATAAAAGAAAATGCAGTATGAGTAGAATATCAGCTTAGAGGGTTCAGGGTATATAACTGATAAATAACTGATTTGGCATATATTTTTTTGTTAAAAAGACCTTGCTATAATTAAATAACGCATCTTACAATTGAATAATTATCCAAAGGATTTACATGATCCAGTTAGAGAGCACAACTACAGTAAATCTGACCTAAGAGGTCAGTCCTAAATGAAACCCTTCAATGATTTATGTTTAATAAAAACTGAAGAACCGTTACAGAAAAATTCCTTAGAAAATCTATAAATATAAATCCCTTTCGCTTAAAAATTTACAACAGTTAAAACCAAAATGAATAAATAAAATTTTTCGATTGTTTATCAGTTTAATTGCAATTTTTTATAAAATTTCTTTATGCATGGCTAAGATTTTGGTTTCTCGACAGCTCCAGTCCTCAGATTCTTCATGTGATCTTCTAGTAACCGTAGCCGTAGGCCTGGGGTAAGTAGGCAGCGCCATAGAGATTCTGTTGATACTGGGGCACGGCATAGTTGGGGTCAAGGTAGCTGGCCACGGGCGAGGAGTAGGCGCCGGCAGATCCGTAGCCCTGAGATGGAGAGCTGCATGGCACTGGCGCCAGGTTCGGCTGGCAGCTGAACAGGTAGTTCTTGGGGCAGGGAGGAGCTGGCACACTGGCTGCGCCGCCGGAGCTGCCGCCGCCATAAGCGGACTTGCGTAGACGGGTCAGATCACCATAGCCCTGGTTATCTGACTCAGATTCCTGGTTGTTAACGGAAGCTGAGCTGCTGCCGGTGGGATTGGCCAAAGCGGAGCCAACAATGGCGATGAGGGCGAGGCACACAAAGAATTTCATAATTAGGCTGTAGATGCTGCTTTAGTTATCAAAGATGACTGATGACACTCCCAATTGTACGTCTACTTAAATAGGTAGAATGGAATTATGTCTAGCTAGCACAACTGGCTTCATCCATAAAGTTTGGCTTTGAAATGTTGGCCATTTCTTACAATTGCGCTGAGCTGGCCGAAATGCGACTTGAGTTCTTTTTGGGGTCATTTAAATGTTTAAGAATTTTTTTATTTTTTTTGTTTAAACTAAGCTGGCAAAAAATTTATTAAAATGAGTGGAATCTGTGGCAACCGACCTAGGTGGGTGGCTTAATTGTGGCTCGTTTGCACGTTGCACAATATTAATTGTAGCCTCATTTATTAGCGAGCTCTACTTAAAGATAAAATAGCTCACGATTCTGCTTGCCATGTGAATATTTACATATTTCGAAATATATGTATATTTTAAATTTGTGTTGAGTTAACAAATGAGCGGAACTTGTAGAATTTTTATAATTTATAATAAATGTTTGATAAAATATGATATGTAGTCCAATGATATTTCTAAATTTTTAAAAATAAAATTAATAAAAATAAAAATACAAAAATACATTAACTATGTATATTAATTTATATACTAAATCGAGTAATAATTACCAGTTGTCTCGCAAGTTTATTTATCTGAAGCTCGCTGCAAATTGTTGATTAGATATGCATGTCTGTGAAATAGGTGGGGAATTCTTTCGATAGCCCGATCACTCACCCTCCTTTAGAGATAAAAGATATAGAATAACTATGGTATATCTGTTTTGCGAATCTGTTTACTTTTCTTGTATGAATAAGTTATCATTTAAGTTATCTATGAGTTTTATTCTAAATATAGTATATGAACATGTTATTGACAGCTTTTTCTATCTATATCATATTTTAATCATTTTCATAGGTTAAAACTTTATTTCGGAATTGTAAAGTACAGCCATTATCTTATTTGTTTGACTAATTTTGTTTTATTATTTTATTTTATTTTTCTTTATATACACATTGTATTTGTTCAATAATAAGAACTTGCTTTAGCTGCTTGTACATATAAATATTATGATCAAAAATATATTTCCCCAATACTACCAATACCATAGAATATTTTTTATTCATATATGAATATTTTGTTGTTACGTTGTGTGTATATTTTCCCATACTAAATTTAGTTTTATTAATAAAGTGTTTATTGGGAAAAATATATATCTTAAAATGTATTTATTAATATGCCTTATATATTTTGCAAATTATTTATACAAAACAATTTTTTTTATTACTGTATTTGAATTGTATTTTATATATGTATATATTAGTTTTAATGTTTCAATGAATAAAACT